CCCCCACCCCCACCCGCACCCGCACACGCACACGCACACGCACACGCACACGCACACGCACGCACGCACGCACATGCACTCACACACGCACGCACACACACACACACCCACACACACACACACGAACACACAACACACACACACACAAAACACACAAACCACATAAACAACACACATTCACACACACACGCACACGCACACCACACATACACACTTTTTCGTCAGCGGCGAGGCGGCGAACCCCTCCCCAGCGAGAAGCTAGATAGGGGCATTAATTAGCAAATCGGCCGGCGAGCGAAGATGGAAATGGGGACGGCCGAGAGGAAGAAGGGAGTCCCTTCTTCCTCTCCGCCGAACGCTTCGCGCCGAAGTAGGAACTCGTCTGAGTGTTCCGAACGCTCAGACGCCGAAAAGCTCGACGATGCGCAGCCGGGGGGGCAGCAGCAGCCAGGCGCGCAGGGCCAGAGCGCGGTGGGTGGCCGTGGCGAACCACGGTGGCAAGGGTGGCGGGGAGTGGCAGCCAACGCCTGGGGCTGGCGGGGCGCACTGTGAAACACCGCGAACGACGTACCGCGGCGCACCGAGGAGAAGGCAGAACACTGAACCGTGTGGGGGTGGGAGCAGCGGCCAGATGGCAAGCAGTGACAGGCAGGGACACTACGGCGTGACCGCCAGAGGCCAGGTGGCCGGGGGGCGGGGAGAGGTGGGGCGGGAGGCAGCGGGCGAAGCGTCCCAAGCGCCCGCGGGCTGCCGGGCGGAACACCAACGCGGGGGAGGAAGCGCGGGGCAGCCGGAAGTGGCAACGCAGCCATATGGCTGGCAGAGAGCGGGAAGTGGCAGCCCAGGGCCGCCAGGGGGCCACAGGGCAGAGAGGGGAGGGGCAGGTGGCGGCGGGCAAAACGTCCCGGGCGCACGCACGAGCGGGGCGGAACAGCACCGCAACGGGAGGAGGCGGCGCGGGGCCGCCGCGGAAGGAGGGGAGCGCCGACGGGTGCGGAAGCCGGGTAGCAACGCATGGCGGCCCACAGGGCGGTCCAGCGTGGTGCGTCGGAGAAGCACCGAAGCGGTGCAGGGGACGGTGAATGAGCGACGCGCGTCCCACACGGGAAGTAACGTCGCGAGGGGCGGCGACGGAGAGCACCCAAAGGTGCAGAAGCCGGGTGACGACGCTGGGCAACCCAGAGGGCGGCACAGCGTGGTGTAGCAGAGGAGCGCCGAAATTGCGCAGGGGGGAGAGAATGAGTGACGCGCGTCCCACACGGGAGGTACCTCGCGAGGGAGCGGCGGCGGGGTGGGCACGCAGGGGCACACGCACACAGACGCCCACGCACACGCACGCACACACGCACACACACACACACACGCACATACACACACGCACACACACACACATCCACCCACCCACCCACCCACCCACCCACCCACACACACACAGACGCACACACACAAAACACACACACACAACACATAAAATACACACAACACATAAAATACACACAACACACACAACACACACACGCATTCACACGCACACGCACACACATGCACGCACGCGCACTTTTGTTCTGCGTCGCGGCCCCGCGCGCGGCGACGGGGTGGAGAAAGTCGAGCGCAAGCAGTGGAGCGCGCGCGTCTACGCCCAGCACACAGGCACACACGCGCACACAGTTTTACGTCGCAGCACGGCAGAGGCAATCCGCACGCGCGTCTGGCCGAGACCAGGGCACGGAGGCGCGAATTCATCCGCATACGCACGCACACACACACACACACACACGCACACACACACACACACGCACACACGCACACACACACACACACACACACACGCGCACGCCCGCCCGCACACACGGAGGCCACGCCACGCCACGCAAGCTCGTATGCACAGACCCACAGACACACAAACCCACAGACACACAGACACACGGCCACGCAGCCACGCAGCCACGCAGCCACGCAGCCACACAGCCACACAGACACACAGACACACACACACACACACACACACCCCCCCCACACACAGACCCCTCCCCGTCTCCCCCCCCCACCCCCACACCCACCCACCCACCCCCACCCACCCACCCACCCACCCACCCACCCACCCACCACCATCCCACCCCCACCCACCCACCCACCCACCCACCCACCCACCCTCCTCCCCCCCCCCGCCCCACACACACACACACACACACACACACATACCACACACACACACACACACGCACGCACGCACGCACGCAAACACACACACACACAGACACACCCACACACACACACGCACACACGCACGCACGCACGCACGCACGCACGCACGCACGCACGCACGCACGCACGCACGCACGCAGGCACGTGCGCACGCACGCACGCTCGCACGCACGCACCGACGCACGCATCCACGCCCGCCCACACACATGCACGCACGCACGCACGCACGCACGCACGCACGCACGCACGCACGCACGCACGCACGCACGCACTCACACATACATACATACATACA